TATGAGGCAGTTCTACTCTGTCATATAGGGTCACTATAGGGTCACCGTGAGCTGGAATGGACTCGACAGCAATGGGTTTGGTTTTTCGGTTAGTGGCTCGATGGGAGAAAGACCTGAAGAACTGCTCCCCATAAAGATTACAGTCTAGAAAACCCTATGGGGAAGTTCTACTCTGTCACATGGGGTCGCAATGAGTCGGAATCGACTCGATGGCATACAACAACAGCGATTATTGCCTAGGTCCCTTAAATCATGTTGTATGCCATTCAGTCAGTTCTGACTCATAGTGACCCTGAGTACAGCAAAACGAAACATTGCCTGGTCCTGTGTCATCCTCACCGTTGTTGCTATGTTTGAGCCCATTGTTGCACCAACTGTGTCAGTCCATCTTATTGAGGGTCATCCTCTTTTTCGTTGACCCTCTGGTTTACCAAGCATGATGTCCTTCCCCAGGGACTTATCCTTCCTTATAACATGTCCAAAGTACATCGGGACAAAGTGTTGCTATCCTCACTTCTAGGGAGCATTGTAGCTGTAGTTTTTCCAAGACAGATTTGTTTGTTCTTCTGGCAGGCCATAGTATATTCAGTATTCTTCGCCAACACAGTAATTCAAAGGCATCAATTCTTCTTTGGTCTTCCCTATTCGTTGTCCAGCTTTCGCTTGCATGTGAGGCAATTGAAAATACCATGGCTTAGGTCAGAAACATCTTAGTCCTCAAAGTGTGACATCTTTGCTTTTTAACAATTTAAAGAGGCTTTCTGCAGCAGATTTACCCAATGCAATAAGTTATTTGATTTCTTGATTACTGCTTCTATGGATGTTGATTGTAGATCCAAGTTAAATGAAATCCTTGACGACTTCAATCTTTTCTCCATTTATCATGATATATAGCTTATTGGTCCAGTTGTGAAGATTTTTGTTTTCCTTATGTTGAGGTGTAATTCATACTGAATGCTGTAGTCTTTGATCTTCATCAGTAAGTGTTTCAAGTCCTCTTCACTTAACAGCAAGCAAGGTTGTGTCATCTGCATAACACAGGTTGTTAATGAGTCTTCCTCCAATCCTGATGCCCCATTCTTATTCATACAGTACAGCTTCTTAGATTATTTGCTCAGCATACAGATTGAATAATTATGTTGAAAGGATATGTCTGTGACACATGCCTTTCCTGATTTTAAAACATGCAATATCCCCTGTTCTTTTTGAACAACTGCATCTTGGTCTATATACCTGAGCACAATTAAGTGTTCTGAAATTCTCATTCTTCGTAATGTTATCCATAATTCGTTATGATCCACCCAGTCAATGCCTTTGCATAGTCAATAAAACACAAGTAAACATCTTTCTGGCATTCTGTGCTTTCAGCCAGGATCTGTGTGACATCTGATCTCATTCCACGTCCTCTTCTGAATCTGGCTTGAATTTCTGGCAGTTCCCTATGGATATACTACTACAGCCATTTTTGAATTATCTTCAGCAGAATTTTACTTGCATGTGATATTAATGATATTGTTCAATGATTTCTGCATTCTGTTGGATCACCTTTCTTTGGATTGGGCACATATATGGATCTCTTCCCGTCGGTTGGCTAGGTGGCCGTCTTCCACATTTCTTGGCATAGACGAGTGAGCACTTTCAACCTTACATCCATTTTTTGAAACTTCTTGATTGGTATTCCATTAATTCCTGGAACCTTGTTTTTCACCAGTGCCTTCAGTGCAGTTTGGACCTCTTCCTGCAATACCATCGGTTCTTGATTATACGCTACCTCCTGAACTGGTTGAATAGCGACCAGTTCTCTTAGGTACAGTGACCATGTATTCTTTCCATCTTCTTTTGATGCTTCCTGCATTGTTCAGTATTTTGCCCATAGAATCCTTCAATATTACAACTGAAGGCTTGGATTTTTTCTTCAGTTCTTTCAGTTTGAGAAATGCTGAGCGTGTTCTTCACTTTTGGTTTTCTAACTCCAGGTTTTTGCACGTTTTATTATACTTTGTCTTCTTGAGCTGCCCTCTGAGATCTTCTGTTGCGCTCTTTTACTTCATCATTTCTTCTGTTCAGTTGAGCTATTCTATGCCCAAGAGCAGGTTTCAGAGTGTCTTCTGACATCCATTTTGGTCCTTTTCTTTCTTTCCTGTCTTTTTAATGACCTTTTGCTTCATGTATGATGTCCTTGATGTCATCCTACAACTCGTCTGGTCTTCGGTCATTAATGTTCAGCGCATCAAGTCTGTTCTTGAGGTGTGGTCTCTAAATTCAGGTACGATATACTCAA